GAGGGGATCCCCATTACCTGTAAAGCGCTTTGAGTGGAGTGTCCAGAAAAGCGCTATATAAGTGTAAGCAATTATTATTATTATTATTATTACCTGTGCCTGCGACAGTATGAGGTCACCCGCGGCTCTTGCCCCAGCGCTGTCAGGGGGACAAGTACGGTGTGGTAACACCACTGTGCCCAGGCCGCCGTGCCCTGTAGTTCTGACCCCTGCCCCGTCTACCCCAGCAAGGCACAGATTCGTGCGTGTGTGTGGAGACTGCAGGGCCCTACGGGAGAGCCAGGCGGTTAGCGGTGTCAGCTTTTTTTAAGCTACCTTTTAGCTAGGACAGGGGATAAATGGCTTTCTCTAGATAGAAGTACAGATCGTCTGCGTTTACAATTACAGAAGCCATGTGATTCGAGAGAGATCTGTCTTCCCCCCTTTTTCATTTTCCCTTGGTATGACAAGGCCACAGAACACAAAACCAGCTCCTGCCACCAGCACAGGTACTGCTCCTATTAATATTCCTGATACACAAGCTGCTGCCGCGACTGATGATGATGAAGATGAAGAAAGGCTCAACTAAGTGATGTCGATACAGATTATCTTGGTTTTCAGTCCCGACCAAACTTCAGATTGTGTTCAATTGAAACTAGGAGAGGCACGAGTGGAATCTTGTGCCAGAATTGTAGAACTGAATCTTGACTTTTTAGCCATCTTCAGCAGCTGGAAGATGCTCAGAAAGAGCTTGACCTTTTCTAAACAAACAGGAAAAAAAAAAGGGCCGTCTGTCCGACGGAGCGCTCAACGTTGCCTCACGTCGCTTCCGCTCTCTACCTTCTTCAAGGTGCGAGAGCCGCCTCCCCGCAGCTGATTGGCGGAGAACGAGCCGGGCGCTCTGATTGGGCCCCGGGCCTGTCAGTCAGGCGCCTCGGCGCGAGGCGGCCCGTACTTCAGCGCAGGTAAGGGCGTCTCACTGACAGAGGGAGGGTTTTGGAGTCACGGCGCACCTGGATTTGACAAAGGATTGAAAGAGGCAATAGAGGAGTAACGAAGGACTCGTTAGCGTGTGCGTATGTTTTGCTTTCAATTGTTGTAAAAACAAAAAATAGGAAAGTTGTTGCTCATTTCTCCCGGAGAGCTATGGCTAGCTTAGGACTGGCTATTAACGTGCCGAACACGGAGGAAAACGCCGTCTTTACCCAGCTGAAGCCCGTGAGGATGTCGGGGGGGGACGGCAGTGAGGAGCCACCCGTGTTTGAGGAAGTCAAGCCGGCGGCGAGGATCGCGGCGAGCCCCCTGGAGCTCGCGCAGGTACGGCCGGGGGCTCCCCTCGCACGAGCTCTCCGGGGCGGCGGGAGGTGGGGCGCGAGATGTGGTGCTGGGGGGGGGGTCACGCATCTCCCTTCGACAGCCGTCACGTGCAAGAAGCCTAACCCCGAGACGAGTGATTAACTTTTAAATTTCTGCCGAGCTTTGTACAGATGTGGTTGTGTTGCGGATGATCTGCTGGGTACAGCTGTTTATATATGAAAGATCTGGAGCAGACATAATGGGGTGCGGATATGGGTATTGATACGGAGAGCTGTTGTTTTTTTTTTATTATTTGTAGCCATAAAAGTACATTATTTTCCGTTCTATAATATCCAGTAACGAATCCAAACCAAGTGGAACTAAGATTCTTTATTAAAGAGAAATCTTGAGTCGTAACCATTGACGTGTATTCTTTAATATAAAGCGTTGCGTAAAAGTGACTTGTTAAAACACGCTGTTGATGAGCGCTTAGCACAGCTCCGTTTGGCTGTACCAACTGCGCTGGCTCTTCGGATCATGTTACTAGTCTCCCTCGGCTGAAGCCTTCATTCCAGGGCAGGCTTGTAGTGCCACAACTGGAGGAGTCTTCAGGGTCCTTAATCCTCCGCTGTCAAAGACACGTCAGGCTTCACCGTCCCGAAAGTCTTTTCTCGGACGACGGAGAGACGCCGGCACTGTCGTGTTGTCCCCCGATTCGCCTCATTTTAACGGCAACAAAACGTGTCACCCGCCTTTAAAGAAGCGGGAGGGTATTCCTTAAATTCAGGAGGTACCAGAGGAAAATCTCCCATTGTAACCGTACTCGTGTCTAGCTTAATAATGGTATCGTAGTATATATGTAAACACATTGATCTGTTTTTTTTTTGTCCTGTTTGGTAAATGACGTTTAAATTAACGGAATTTGGGCTCGATCAGGGGACAAGGCTGTTCCCCGTCAATCTCGCTCAACGCCTGACCCTTTCCAAAGTTTTTTTATTATTAAAGGGCGTTTCGTGATCGCTGTGGGTTGCCCCAGTCGGGAGCGGGCTTGTCGCGGTAGCAGCCCGGGAAGAGGCTCTTTAAAAGCGCGGGTCGGCAAGGCTGGTGCCCTTGCAGGTGCAGAGGTGTTTGCACACAAATAGAGAGGTTGGAATCGCTAAGGTGCTGGAATGCAAACGAGTTCTTAACTTCCCGTTAGTGCCGTTTTATTGGGAGGGTTCACTTAACGTCCAGTTAAGGGCCCTTTTCCCTAGTATTTATATATTTTTTTCTGCGTTACCTTCGGTTAATGTTTAACAAAAAAAATGTCATTAAAGGCGTCCCACGCCCGTCAATTGTCTTGGCGTTCTCAGTATCGGGTCTTATCAAGGTAGCCTCTTTAAGTGTCTTGAGTTTGCGTGGAGGGGGGGCATTGAAATTCGCAAACGACAAATTACAACCCCCAAGCCGCTTTCTCGAATTAATGGATTATGTAAATGTACGGCATGCGGAATATTAAATAGTGTTGCCTTAGACATACTGTGCACATACTTTTCTGTACACCTCGCAGGCTCGTATGAGCCCGAGTGTGCCATGTTTTACCGTCTCCGAAGGAATCCTGGGAGAGACGCGTTATAATAATTTAATAATAATTATGCGTTTTCTCTATCATTACAAGGGAAGACAACCTGACTTTAGAACAACTCTTTCAATTATAACTTTGGTGTGTACGTTGGTACCCTTATAACCGCGTTTGTGTGACTATCTGTGACGGTTAGATAGTGATGATCATCTAGACTTAGCCAAAAGGACATCTGAATGCAAAACTACTGAACGTTAAGCACCTACTTTCCACTAGAAAGAATTACTTGGAGAAGTTACTTCCACTGTAACGCAGGCATTGGTTGGATTTGTATGTGTTCGTTTACGAGCTAGGCGGTCTGGGAGTGCAATGTTATTTTTATCTACTCGATAGTCGATCCTTTCTCACCTCTCGGCCCCGTCCACCGCCGCAGAGAGGAGGAGATCCACTCGGACTCCGGCTGGGGAAGATTCCCCTGCGCCCGGGCTCGCCTCCTTTGGCGCCGAGCGAGCCCAATACCGGACTTACCGCCCGAGATACAGGCGGGTTCGGCTTTCATCTGCTGGACAGCCTCGGCGCCGGCCCCGCACACGGCTGGAGCATGCCCTACTCTAGACATCCTAGGCTGTGCGGTTCGTGGGATCTTTGCTGGGGGGGGGGGACAAGATCCCAGAACTCGCCTCCGCCTCCTCAGGTCGCAAAGTTGAAACAATACATGCGCTTTCTTCTCTTCGGTTATGGAAATAGCTCGGTCACGACGAGAAACGCACCAGCTAATTCGCTTATCAAGCAGTGAGAAGTCTTTATTTAAACAAATAAGAGAGAAAAAAGGAAAGCAGAGGCCGGTCAGAATGAAGGGCTTGTAACTACGCTGCGCGGATCCTCTTCAGGGTAGCACTGCGATGCGCCCAGAACCTTAATTGGTCTACCAGCCCGATTATCAGTTCAGCACGGGAGCTGATCTTGAAAGAAAAGCACGTTCTTGAGGGGCCAACAAAAGTGTCAGGCTGTACAATCCTGGTGCAGTCGCTTTAAAACATACAGCTCCCCGGGATGTACATTTCAGGAATTGTAACATACCTCAGTTATGTACGTACTTCAATAAACTACAGTCGTCGGCGTATGGATTCAAGTCACAGCACAGTCTCCCCGGTGGTTTGAATTCCTGTCGAGGAGCAGTCCGTTCCTGTCCACGCATGTGGTAGCCGGTCCAGTCTCGATCGCTTCAGTCCTAAATCTCTACAGGTGCGCAAAGGACGGTGGCTGTGAAATTTTGTGAAACTTTAAAGTTGATTTTTTTTATATTATTGAAGGTTTCATTGTTTGCGGCAAGCATTCACTGAATTCACAGCGTTGTGTTGTGAATCGTACTTGAACTTGCGGGATGTAAGCAGCTTGAAATATACTTCCTTCGCTTAAATGTTATTTAAAAAAAATTGTACACATTTTGTTAATGATGCAATGTCTCCTTTTGAGTAAGCTTTGAGCTAAGCCTAAAGAAAATCAATTTCCGTATCAACAAATGTCTAAGACGTAAGCCTAGGTCATTTTGGTTTCGTTTAGAATTGTTTTTTTTTTAGTTCAAGGCATTATGTTTTTTTGTTAAAATTCGATTGCGTATCAGCTTAATATTAATGTATAACTAATACCATAAAGTTCCTTTTTTTGTTTTCACATTAATTGAAACATACTTCACAGTTATTTACGTAAGTAAAGCAGACTTTTGTAATTACAAATTACAAAAATATTTCAAATTTCTTTAATTCAAGGATCGTTTTATGCAACACAAGTGAACGTTCATTGAATATGTGCTTGTTTCAGCTGAAGCTGAAAGGCTTAGCATTTATTTTGTAATCAGTTTTGAATTGTCTTTAATTTATAGCAGTATATTTTGGCAAATAAATATTTAATTTAGCCAATCATCTTACTCAGCAGTTGATAGTGATATTCAAGTATACAGAGCAAATATTGACTAGTATTTAACTAAATAATACCCGTGTGTTTTTATAGGGGCACACCTTGTGCAAAAGCGTCTTGTTTTCCAAATTTTCCTTCTGATCCTGATTGCTTTCACTCTCTGTCCTCGGTTTACCTCCTGTGTACTCCCGGGCTGTTGACCTTTTGCTTTTAAACAGGCTTGGATTACACTTCTTTTGAAAGTCAACCTTGACCCCTCAAAACTACAGAACTGTCGTCCCATCTCCCTTCCTTCCCCATTTTCTCTCTGAAAGCTGAGTGAGACAGACACCAGCTTCTAGTGGGTGGTGCCTCCACCTCGCACTTTTCAGAGCATGCTGTTTGACCCTCAGAGATGTCTATCTGTTACTGATTCTCATCGCTCAGCAGCTACTTCCTCATCTATGCCTTAAATCTTCTTGATCTTTCTGCCAACTTGCCCCATGCGTATCGCTTTGTTCTTCTGTCAACAGTTTCTGAAATCGGCACTGCTTTCAATTTGTTCTTTGCATATTACACATATGCAGTCTTTAGGCATGACTCACTCTCTCTCCTCTCTGGTGTTCCCCTTGGTTCTGTCCTGGGTCCCTTCCTGTTCTGTCTATACCTTCCACCTGGGTCCTCTCATCCCTTCCCTTGGTTTCTTCTATCATGTCCAGGTTTAAGGGGCTAAGATCTTCTTCTTTTCCCACTTCTGATCCCCATTTACCACCCCTGCTTCCTCCTATTGCTCCCACTTGTTTCACAGCTGTCTCCTTCTGGATGCTCTCCCACAAGCGTAAGCTCAGCCTTTTCTGACCTCAACTGCTTCCTTTTTTCCCCTCTCTCCAGACCTCTCCATTTCCTTTCCCTTCGGACTCCACCACCTTTTCCACCTCTGCCTCTGCCAAGGATCTTAGTGTCACCTTCTTGTTTCATAAACATGTCTGGCACACTTCAGTCGCTTCTTCCTGAGCAACATTTGCAGAATCTACTGTTCTACACACCTTCTATCCCAGATCTGGTACTCTCCTACTGTAACTCCCACTGGATCAGCCCACAGCCCTACCTGTTCTCAGTCTCTTATTGCTTCCTACATCGTCTTCCAACTGACCCTGTACTCCCTCTGTGTTCTTCCACTTCCAGGGCCTGTTTGTGCTTTCCTTACAGCAATCACAAGAGCTCTCTGACCCCGTTTCAGTGCCTATCATCTCTCAGTTCTCCAGTATAGTCTTCAAACCTCTCGCATTGTTTTTAATTCTCACATGGGTAATGCTATCTGAAACTTGCACTTGCTGAATGTAAACATTGAACACGTACCAGCAGGGTGTTCATGTTACTGCTTTGTAGCCGCGCTGTCTGTTAATGCTTAATATTGTTGTAATTCTTAACATTTCACTTCTAACATTGTCGTGCTAGCCTAATGGCCATTTTGTTTTTATTGTATTGCACTTCTGTTATTGTAGCTATTGTACATCCACTCAATGTAAACTTTGCATTTACCAAACTTTGTATTTGTCCTGGG